TGTGTACTGTGTGTGCTGAGTGTTTGTACTGTGTGTACTGGGTGTTTGTACTGTGTGTGCTGTGTGTACTGTGTGTACTGTGTGTTCTGGGTGTGTGTACTGTGTGTACTGTGTGTGCTGGATGTGTGTACTGTGTGTACTGTGTGTGCTGGGTGTGTGTACTGTGTGTACTGTGTGTGCTGGGTGTGTGTACTGTGTGTGCTGGGTGTTTTGTGTGTACTGGGTGTGTGTACTGTGTGTACTGTGTGTTCTGGGTGTGTGTACTGTGTGTACTGTGTGTGCTGGATGTGTGTACTATGTGTACTGTGTGTACTGTGTGTGCTGGGTGTGTGTACTGTGTGTACTGTGTGTGCTGGGTGTGTGTACTGTGTGTGCTGGGTGTTTTGTGTGTACTGGGTGTGTGTACACTGTACTGTGTGTACTGGGTGTGTTTTGTGTGTGCTACTCGTGCTGGGTGTCTGTACTGTCTGGTGGATATGCCAAGTGCCTCGTTCACCTGGTAATGACAAGTGGTCGTTTATTTAGTGAGTGTGGATACTTAATGACGGTTAATTAAACCGTTAATGGGTGGTGATACATTGATAGTGGTTAATGAGTGGTAGCTGACAATAATTGGTGGCTCATTAATGAGTACTTAAGTCACGACATTGTGAAGGCCACGGGCAGACTCTGCGGACTTTGGCTGTGTTACGCTGGGCCCGCTTTACGAACAGAGGCCAGAGGGCCCATCCACAGCTCCCCACCGACCCCGGCGACCTCGATCCCCTTTACCAGGACTAATCTAATGCCCAGGGGGGGGGGGGGGAGTGGTGGCGCAGTAGTTCGTTAACTATTCTGAGAGCCTGGCGACCTGAGTTCGATTCCCAGCCACGGCTAACGTCACTGGCGGCTGATATATTGAACCGGTCCTGGGGTTCCCCTGTACTACCAACCTGCATTCACCAGCGTGGTGAAGTATGGTCAAGTGTGGTAAAACGACCGGCACGTCGTGGGGACGACGCCTTAATCCAGCAGTGGATTTAAAAAGGGGCTGTACCTTATATTGCCAATCAAAATAAAATCCTATTGAATGGAACCCCTAAACTAATAGCAGCCTAAACGGTAACTCCAAATTAGGATTGCGTGAAGGCCGCGCTCGGTTACAGAGACCCCAGAGTGTGGGACCGGCCTCGATTGCAGAAGACCCCCCCCCCCCCCCCCCCCCCATATATTGAACAACTGTTCAATCACTAGGAGCCTCGTTAGCGAAGAGTGACTTCATCACTCTTCGCTAACGGCCCCCACGACTGGGCCCGCACCCGAGCGGCTTCTACATCCGCGGCGTTTCGTTGTTCCGCATCGCGCGGGGGCCCGAGCGGCGCCTCGGACGAGGGCTTCTTCCTGCTTGCCTGCCTCTCCCCCCCCGCCCGTCACCGACCTGCTTGTCCGCCTCTTCTCCTCCCGCTGTCGTGTCGAGCAAAGCCGACGGCGCCTTCGGTTAAAAGTCGTCGCCGCTTCTCGTTGCTGTGCTGAGCGTCCCCGCGTCTCATAGCAACGGGGCCCCCGCGTATCATAGCAACGCCCCCCCCCCCCGCGTATCCTAGCAACGCCCCCCCCCCCCCAGCTCCGGTGGCCACGAGGGGGCGGCCGAGGCCCGCGGTCTCCCTGCCCCCCACCGGCCCGCGACGGCCGCCGGCTCGCGAGGCCTTCACCCCCCCCCCCCCCCGGGGGGCGGGGGGGTGAAGGCCTCGTCCAGCAGACATCGCGAGCGCAAGGAATTCGGTCAATTGGGCTGTTGGAGGTTGCTGCTGCCACCGCGGGTCTGTGATGAGTCTGTGGTGAGTCTGTGGTGAGTCTGCGGTGAGTCTGTGGTGAGTCTGAGTCTGTGATGAGTCTGAGTCTGTGGTGAGTCTGTGGTAAATCTGAGTCTGTGGTGAGTCTGAGTCTGTGGTGAGTCTGCGGTGAGTCTGTGGTGAGTCTGAGTCTGTGATGAGTCTGTGGTGAGTCTGAGTCTGTGGTGAGTCTGAGTCTGTGGTGAGTCTGTGGTAAATCTGAGTCTGTGCTGAGTCTGAGTCTGTGGTGAGTCTGTGGTGAGTCTGAGTCTGTGGTGAGTCTGCGGTGAGTCTGAGTCTGTGGTGAGTCTGTGGTGAGTCTGTGGTGAGTCTGAGTCTGTGGTGAGTCTGAGTCTGTGGTGAGTCTGTGGTGAGTCTGAATCTGCGGTGAGTTGTGGTGAGTCTGTGGTGAGTCTGTGTGGTGAGTCTGTGTGGTGAGTCTGTGGTGAGTCTGTGGTGAGTCTGAGTCTGTGGTGAGTCTGCGGTGAGTCTGAGTCTGTGGTGAGTCTGTGGTGAGTCTGTGGTGAGTCTGAGTCTGTGGTGAGTCTGAGTCTGTGGTGAGTCTGTGGTGAGTCTGTGGTGAGTCTGAATCTGCGGTGAGTTGTGGTGAGTCTGTGGTGAGTCTGCGGTGAGTCTGTGGTGAGTCTGTGGTGAGTCTGAGTCTGTGGTGAGTCTGAGTCTGTGGTGAGCTGTGGTGAGTCTGTGGTGAGTCTGAATCTGCGGTGAGTTGTGGTGAGTCTGTGGTGAGTCTGTGGTGAGTCTGTGTGGTGAGTCTGTGTGGTGAGTCTGTGGTGAGTCTGTGGTGAGTCTGAGTCTGCGGTGAGTCTGTGGTGAGTCTGTGGTGAGTCTGAGTCTGTGGTGAGTCTGTGGAGAGTCTGAGTCTGCGGTGAGTCTGTGGTGAGTCTGTGGTGAGTGTGAGTCTGTGGTGAGTCTGAGTCTGTGGTGAGTCTGTGGTGAGTCTCAGTCTGTGGTGAGTCTGTGGTGAGTCTGAGTCTGCGGTGAGTCTGTGGTGAGTCTGTGGTGAGTCTGAGTGTGTGGTGAGTCTGTGGTGAGTTTGAGTCTGAGGTGAGTCTGTGGTGAGTCTGTGGTGAGTCTGAGTCTGTGGTGAGTCTGTGGTGAGTCTGAGTCTGCGGTGAGTCTGTGGTGAGTCTGAGTCTGCGGTGAGTCTGTGGTGAGTCTGAGTCTGCGATGAGTCTGTGGTGAGTCTGAGTCTGCGGTGAGTCTGTGGTGAGTCTGTGGTGAGTCTGAGTCTGTGGTGAGTCTGTGGTGAGTCTGAGTCTGCGGTGAGTCTGTGGTGAGTCTGAGTCTGCGGTGAGTCTGTGGTGAGTCTGTGGTGAGTCTGAGTCTGTGGTGAGTCTGTGGTGAGTCTGAGTCTGCGGTGAGTCTGTGGTGAGTCTGTGGTGAGTCTGAGTCTGAGGTGAGTCTGAGTCTGCGGTGAGTCTGTGGTGAGTCTGAGTCTGTGGTGTGTCTGAGTCTGCGGTGAGTCTGAGTCTGTGGTGAGTCTGTGATGAGTCCGTGGTGAGTCTGTGGTGAGTCTGTGGCGCTCGGGGGCGCTGCTGACATGGTCCCTGCCCCACCGAATGTCCAACCGAGTTCACACTCCTTGTGGTGAATCTACTGCCTGAGGAATTGTTTTTCTAGTACATATATGTAATGGTCTTGCACTGGATGTTTGGACAATTCATCTTGTGAGTGTGGCTTCATGTGTGAGGAAAAACCAGAGAACCCAGAGAAAACTCGTACATAACGGGGTAATAAATACAAATTCCGCAAACATTAATTAAAAAATCCATTGTCATGCCATCTCCTTATCTTCTCACAGCCACTCAACCCAAGCCGACAACATCCCAAAGCAGTCTTCCAGCCATACAAACCAAGCTCAACATCTGCTTAGCTTGTGAAATGTTTGAGATTGCCTGAATTCAGGGCAACTTGGTCTTGTCTCATCTCACTTGGTTGATCCTGGACACCCCCCTTGCAAACGAGGTGTTCCATTTCAAGGGCTTATGCAGGTGAAACGTCTTGATACAACAATGTGCCTGGTGCTCACACATGCCACACATCACACTCCGGCCCTGGCTGTCGTGGCCGTGTTTAATCGAGCGTGCGCCCCCCGCTTGTTTGTGGAAGGGCACTGCCAGTGCGGGCCTGGGTCTCTGCCAGTGTCTCGCGTGCCCAGGGGTCCCCGTCAGTCGCGTGTTTATTGAGGGCTGCTGCCTGGCGGATCGGAATCTTTATGTGACTGGTGCCGAGCTATCTTTAGTGGTGACGGTGTGGCTCATGCCGAGCCGAGCTTCTCCACGGATACTGACTGCTCCATGTGAGCGTCTTGGCTGTGGTGAATGTCTCCATTTGCCCCGTGGCCACCGTCCGCGGTGTAAGGTCTGATTCAATACTGACCATTCATGAAGGTGATCTATATGGGCAACTCCAGGACAGTGCAGCTTTCCATAAGGGCTGATTATTTGGTCATTTTGAATGCCCTCAAGTAAGCGAACAATTCCTGCCCCTGTGTCGTGAAGGTCGCCATATACACCACGGCCTGCCGACTGATGGCACCTGTGCTGAGGTGAGGGGGCTGTGACGGTGCAGGTGACGGTGTATGGACGTGGTGACACGATAGGCCTCATAGTCGCAGCTCTACCCTGGCCACATACATCACTGGGTTCGTTTTACCAGTCGTCACAAGCGTTACCAGCGTATCGCAACTTGCAGTATTTTTGTTATTTGAACATGGAAAAGCTGGTAATCGTGTAAAGGTGGACCATGGTGTTTGGGATGTAGACGTGAGTATTATTGAGTGACCCCATCCCGAGGCGAGGACACGTGAGATCATCCCATCAGGAAGGGCCTCCTCTTCCACCACCCTTTTCACAGATCAAATCAGGACATACTGACTACTGTATTGCTCAGTCAGCCCAGGTCTACCCAAGCAGTATACTGCGATACATTTCTACGCAATACGGTAAAAAAATTAATAATTACTGCCACCCGAACACAGATACCAATTCTGCCCGGATTAAACCCCGGACAGGTAGCAACTCTAAAGCCCCCCACCCAAACCCCGCTTCACCCCCCGCCACCTCCATCCCAGAGAGGACTCCCCAGAGCCCCGCCCCTCCGCCTCTGCCCGGCGCGCGCAGGTCGCTCCGCGCGCCGCGCCCGCACTCGCGTCACTACGGCGCACGCGGTGGGGGGGAGGGGGGGCATGGCGCCCCGCCCGCACGCACGCCGCCGCCTCCTCCTCCTCCTCGTCGTCTCCCGTTCTCGGCCCTGGCGGGATGGTAACGCGAGGAAGAGGAGGATGGTAACGCGAGGAGGAAGAGGAGGAGGATGGTAACGAGAGGATGATGGTAACGAGAGGAGGAGGATGGTAACGCGGGCTCGCTGAGGCTGCGAGAGACGAGATGAGCGCCGCGGATGGAGGCGAGGAGGGAGGAGGCACTGATGCCGACATCGAGGTCTTCTACAGAGCGGGTGGGCGCTGCGCTTAATGGTGTCTTTGTGGCTGTGTGTGTGTGAGATGTTGTCTTTGTGGCTGTGTGTGGTGGTGTCTTTGTGGCTGTGCGTGATGGTGATGCGGCATGCGGCGTGGTGTGTGTGTGATACGGGGTGGTGTTGTGTGTGCCGTGTATGTCACGCTTTGTGTCGGTGCCGTGTGTGGTTGTGTTTGTGTATGTGTGGTTGGGTGTGTGTATGTGTGTGGTGGCGATGTACAGTGTGTGTGATGTTGGGCGTGGTGTGTGTGGTGTTGGGTGTGTGGGTCAGTGTGGTCTGTGTGATGCCAAGTGTGTGGGCTGTGTTTGTGTGATTGTAAGTGTGTGGGCTGTGTGTATTTTGCTGGGTGTGTGTGTGAGTGATGCGAGGCGTGTGGCAGTGTGATTTGCTCGCGCTGTGTGTGTTATGGATGTGTGATGCTGCGTTGTTCTGGGTATGTGCGATATCGTAATCGTGGTGCTGCTGCTGGGTGTTGTATTTGATGCGGGGGGTTGAAGTCATCTCGGGACTGCGGGGCGCTCGGCTCTCATCCGTTGCTGGGATGCATCCCTGCCGCATGGCGGACACACGGGGGGGCCTCTGCTATGCGGTGTAGCTCGCGCATTGCCCCTCGGATTCCCCTCTCCGCGGCCGTGATTGATCTCTCTCATCCACGCCCACTCCCCGTTCCCCAGCTCCAACCTCGGTCTAGCTCTCTGGCTGCGACGCTGCCCCTCTGTGCCGAACGTACAGGCGTGGGGATGATGCACGTTGGTGGTGTGGGGGGGGGAGATGCTTGGGGTGTCTTGGTTGTGGATGGAGGATGGAGGTGGTGTGTTGGAACAGATGGGAGCAGAAGAGGTTGTGTTTGTAGGGGCGTGGAGGGGTGTTCATGTTAATTGAAGTAGGGTTGTGTTTGCTAGAGATTGCAGGAGAGGTGTTTTTGTAGGTTTTATAGAAGCTGTGTTGTGTGTTAGATTGGAGCAGGCGGAGATGTGTTAGGAGGAGGTGGGATGCACGTGGACTGGAGGCTGTTACTTCCCGCAGTGAGTGGGCTCACGTGCCGAGGGGATGGTCAGGTACACGCCGGTCTCCACCCTCCTGGATACAGACACGGCATGTCACGCCCGAGCCGAGAGCGTGGAGACACGGGGACAAGGCGTGATCCCCGTGGACACGGGGACAAGGCGTGATCCCCGTGGACACGGGGACAAGGCGTGATCCCCGTGGACACGGGGACAAGGCGTGATCCCCGTGGACACGAGGACAAGGCGTGATCCCCGTAGACACGGGCACAAGGCGTGATCCCCGTGGACACGTGGACAAGGCGTGATCCCCGTAGACACGGGGACAAGGCGTGATCCCCGTAGACACGGGGATAAGGCGTGATCCCTGTGGACACGGGGACAAGGCGTGATTCCTGTAGACACGGAGACAAGGCGTGATCCCCGTGGACGCGAGGACAAGGCGTGATCCCCGTAGACACGGGGACAAGGCGTGATCCCCGTAGACACGGGGACAAGGCGTGATCCCTGTAGACACGGGGACAAGGCGTGATCCCTGTAGACACGGGGACAAGGCGTGATCCCTGTAGACACGGGGACAAGGCGTGATCCCTGTAGACACGGGGACAAGGCGTGATCCCTGTAGACACGGGGACAAGGCGTGATCCCTGTAGACACGAGGACAAGGCGTGATCCCTGTGGACACGAGGACAAGGCGTGATCCCCGTAGACACGAGGACAAGGCGTGATCCCTGTAGACACGTGGACAAGGCGTGGTCCCTGTGGACACGGGGACAAGGCGTGATCCCCGTAGACACGAGGACAAGGCGTGATCCCCGTAGACACGAGGACAAGGCGTGATCCCCGTAGACACGGGGACAAGGCGTGATCCCCGTAGACACGGGGACAAGGCGTGATCCCTGTAGACACGAGGACAAGGCGTGATCCCCGTAGACACGTGGACAAGGCGTGATCCCCGTAGACACGTGGACAAGGCGTGATCCCCGTAGACACGAGGACAAGGCGTGATCCCTGTGGACACGGGGACAAGGCGTGATCCCCGTAGACACGTGGACAAGGCGTGATCCCCGTAGACACGAGGACAAGGCGTGATCCCCGTAGACACGGGGACAAGGCGTGATCCCCGTAGACACGGGGACAAGGCGTGATCCCTGTGGACACGGGGACTAGGCGTGATCCCCGTAGACACGTGGACAAGGCGTGATCCCCGTAGACACGGGGACAAGGCGTGATCCCTGTAGACACGAGGACAAGGCGTGATCCCCGTAGACACGGGGACAAGGCGTGATCCCCGTAGACACGGGGACAAGGCGTGATCCCCGTAGACACGGGGACAAGGCGTGATCCCTGTGGACACGGGGACTAGGCGTGATCCCCGTAGACACGTGGACAAGGCGTGATCCCCGTAGACACGGGGACAAGGCGTGATCCCCGTAGACACGGGGACAAGGCGTGATCCCTGTAGACACGAGGACAAGGCGTGATCCCCGTAGACACGGGGACAAGGCGTGATCCCCGTAGACACGGGGACAAGGCGTGATCCCCGTAGACACGTGGACAAGGCGTGATCCCCGTAGACACGAGGACAAGGCGTGATCCCCGTAGACACGGGGACAAGGCGTGATCCCTGTAGACACGGGGACAAGGCGTGATCCCCGTAGACACGGGGACAAGGTGTGATCCCCGTAGACACGGGGACAAGGCGTGATCCCTGTAGACACGAGGACAAGGCGTGATCCCTGTGGACACGAGGACAAGGCGTGATCCCTGTAGACACGAGGACAAGGCGTGATCCCTGTGGACACATGGGCAAGGCGTGATCCCTGTAGACACGAGGACAAGGCGTGATCCCTGTGGACACGGGGACAAGGCGTGATCCCTGTGGACACGGGGACAAGGCGTGATCCCCGTAGACACGGGGACAAGGCGTGATCCCCGTAGACACGGGGACAAGGCGTGATCCCCGTAGACACGAGGACAAGGCGTGATCCCCGTAGACACGGGGACAAGGCGTGATCCCCGTAGACACGGGGACAAGGCGTGATCCCCGTAGACACGGGGACAAGGCGTGATCCCCGTAGACACGAGGACAAGGCGTGATCCCCGTAGACACGAGGACAAGGCGTGATCCCTGTAGACACGGGGACAAGGCGTGATCCCTGTAGACACGGGGACAAGGCGTGATCCCTGTAGACACGGGGACAAGGTGTGATCCCCGTAGACACGGGGACAAGGCGTGATCCCCGTAGACACGGGTACAAGGCGTGATCCCCGTAGACACGGGGACAAGGCGTGATCCCCGTAGACACGGGGACAAGGCGTGATCCCCGTAGACACGGGGACAAGGCGTGATCCCCGTAGACACGAGGACAAGGCGTGATCCCTGTAGACACGGGGACAAGGCGTGATCCCCGTAGACACGAGGACAAGGCGTGATCCCCGTAGACACGGGGACAAGGCGTGATCCCCGTAGACACGGGGACAAGGCGTGATCCCCGTAGACACGGGGACAAGGCGTGATCCCCGTAGACACGGGGACAAGGCGTGATCCCCGTAGACACGAGGACAAGGCGTGATCCCCGTAGACACGAGGACAAGGCGTGATCCCCGTAGACACGGGGACAAGGCGTGATCCCCGTAGACACGAGGACAAGGCGTGATCCCCGTAGACACGGGGACAAGGCGTGATCCCCGTGGACACGAGGACAAGGCGTGATTCCCGTAGACACGAGGACAAGGCGTGATCCCCGTAGACACGGGGACAAGGCGTGATCCCCGTAGACACGGGGACAAGGCGTGATCCCCGTAGACACGGGGACAAGGCGTGATCCCCGTAGACACGGGGACAAGGCGTGATCCCCGTAGACACGGGGACAAGGCGTGATCCCCGTAGACACGGGGACAAGGCGTGATCCCCGTAGACACGGGGACAAGGCGTGATCCCCGTAGACACGAGGACAAGGCGTGATCCCCGTAGACACGGGGACAAGGCGTGATCCCCGTAGACACGAGGACAAGGCGTGATCCCCGTGGACACGAGGACAAGGCGTGATCCCCGTAGACACGAGGACAAGGCGTGATCCCCGTAGACACGAGGACAAGGCGTGATCCCCGTAGACACGAGGACAAGGTGTGATCCCCGTAGACACGAGGACAAGGCGTGATCCCCGTAGACACGTGGACAAGGTGTGATCCCCGTAGACACGAGGACAAGGCGTGATCCCCGTAGACACGTGGACAAGGCGTGATCCCCGTAGACACGAGGACAAGGCGTGATCCCCGTAGACACGAGGACAAGGCGTGATCCCCGTGGACACGAGGACAAGGCGTGATCCCCGTGGACACGGGGACAAGGCGTGATCCCCGTAGACACGTGGACAAGGCGTGATCCCTTTGGACATGGGGACAAGGCGTGATCCCTGTAGACACGTGAGCACGGTGGCCTTGCTGTGGCCCGCATGGGTCGCACGGGGCAGGTCCAGGGAGTGGAGCTCGGCGCTGGTCTGAGGCCGGACACGCAGATGTCCCGGATTCCTGCCCCATGGCGTCACCGCAGTTGCAGCCTCTCTCAACGACGGTGCGGGGAGAGTGCACCGTGTATCTGCGTATCCAGAGAGTGAATGCAGGGCGTCTGTAGTGGGGGTCGTATGAAGGGATTGAGGCTGGGTGTGTGCAGGGGGTGCAGGACGCCTGTGGATATGGTCAAGAGCGTGCAGGGAGTGTGGTTCCATGGGTTTGTCCCCTGGAGTATGTGTGCAGGGAGCGAGTGTGTTTCCGCGCAATAGAAATGTGAAATTCATCTCAGCCTCAGCTGGGTATGGCCAAGTCACGCGTGCACCACGTGCACCACGTGCACGGGCGATGATGAGCTGCCACTGAACATGCTGCCACGCTCCCCGGCTGACTGGCCGCGTCTCGCGTCCTGCTCCCATTCAGTCGCTCCGCCTGTCAAATGGCTTCTGCTGCCCATCCTCT